CGTGGAAATTAAATGTAGCGACGGGGCAAACGGCAACGGGTATCGTAGCTTTCATAGGTTTAAATGACCTTGATGTTTTATTTATCATCGATATTTTACGCGACTTTGTGTCGCGGGATATCACATCTAGTATATAATATTTGATATTAATTTGATTTAAGCTTTTTACAATCGCTTCTAACGCGTGAAAAGCAATTAAAATCAGTTAAAATCAGTTTGTCATTAAGAAAAAAAGATTTTTTTCAGGTTTTTCGATGATGTTGATTTAAATTCCTTAATTAACAGAAGAAATAATTCCTAACATTGGCGTTATTTCTTCTGATACATCATGGAATTAACATTGATGCACTATTAAATTGGAAAACTAAATCTGTAGAAAATAACTAAACTAACTAAATTTTTCTTTTATTTCTGAACGAATTTTACACTGAATTTTACACTGAGAGAAGCTTTATTAAAGATTTAAATAGTCACGTGAAGTAATTTGATAGAAAATTGATTACAGATTTGATGACTAGAAATATAATTATAAACGAGTTTATCAAGAAAATTTTAAATCGTATCAATTTGAAAATGTAACAAGTTGATTTTCTGTATTTAGCAAAATCGATTTGAATAACAGGATTGATAAAAATTGAATTAACGGAATGCTATCGTGATTTCCATACACATGATATATTTTTGTGTCAAAATTTTTGCAATATTCCATTATGCTCCCTCTTATTGGACACATTATATTTCGAGGACGTATCGAATTCGACTAAAGTTCTGGTTTAAGATAGAATTATTCATCGCACAATGAATCGAATAATCAAACGAAAGTAGTTAATCCAGTATCGAAGTTAACTGCGGATTCGCGAAAATTACAGTATTGAATTAGCGACAGTAGCTATAGGTTTCCGATTTCTGAGAAGTCGTGAAGTTTGAACGAAATGGGTCAAGATAATTTCGAGAAGGAATTAAGGAAATAGAAAAAATTACGTGATGAATCTTCATCGATATCATCTAACAATTACTTCTTTTTATTTGTTAACAAGTTTGCTTGACTTACAAATCATATGTTCATTGACTTTTTTGAGGTGTTTTATTTTTATCTTATTTTTATTGAAGATTCTTACTTTACTATTAGCTTTTAACTTACTATATTATAGATATTAAATGTCTCGGTAACCAAGCACCAAGTAAAACTTTATTATAATAAGATCCACTTTAAACTAATTCAAAGATTAGCGAAACTGTAAGCGACTGTAAAGTTAATTTTATTTATATAATTAATAATATAAATATAAAAAAGATTTTTTGAAAGTATTATTTCTTTGATAAATAAAAAGTAAATAAGAACTTTTTTGTATTTTCTATTTAATTGAAGATTTGTACCAAAATTTTTGTGAATATCATGAATATG